GAATCGCTCCAGCCCAGGAGTTTGAGATAAGAGTGAGCTATGATGGCACCACTGCATTCCAACCTGGGTAACAGAGTGAGACTCTTAAAAACGGACTAATATTAAAGAAAGTTTCATGTTTGAGGGGTATCCCTACTAATTATTTCAAGAGGCTTCTGTACAATTTTAAAACAATATTGTCTTACATGAAAACTCAAATTGTGCCTAGTAAAAGATTTCAGAACCCTGGCTTTTCCTCTAAAATTAACTATGTAATTTACTTTAAGAACACATCAAGGTGTAACAACCTAGCACTTACTGAAGATCTACTCTGTCAGGCACTTCAAATCCATTTTCTCATTTTTAATTTTGTGGTACTGCCTGGGTTGCAATTGGCAACTAATGATAATTTTCAGTAACTATACAATTTATTAACGAAAATATAGCACTCAAAAACAGAAGTCCTAAAAATTAATGTTTTGGATAACCATTAAAAATGACCTTTCTGAAGAATACACAATGACATAAGAAAATGTTTAGAATGGAATTCTATGATAATAAATTAAACTATTAAATTACAAGCAATAATATCCTAAATAAGTAAGAAAGTATATAAATCTGTGTGCATTTCCGAGTGGTTATTTTGGATGGTAAGATTACCAGTAATTTTCCAATTTTATAAAATAAACATGGGTGGGCATGGTGGCTCATGCCTGTAATCCTTGTACTTTGGGAGGCTGAGGTGGGCCGATTGCCTGAGTTTAGGAGTTTGAGATCACTTGAGACCAGCCTGGGCAACACGGTGAAACCCTGTCTCTACTAAAATACAAACAATTAGCCAGGCGTGGTGGTGTGCGCCTGTAGTCCCAGCTACTTGGGAGGCTGAGGCAGGAGAATTGCTTGAACCTGGGAGGCGGAGGTTGTAGTGAACCAAGATCATGCCACTGCACTCCAGCCTGGGTGACAGAGTGAGCGAGACTCCAACTTCAAAAAAATAAAAATAAAATAAAATAAAATAAACATTACTGTTATAACAAATCAGAAACCTCCTTTCAATTAAATGTTACCCTAAAATATCCAATTCTGGTTGTTCAATATATAAGATTTTAAACCAAATTTAGTATGAATGGAATCTATTGTGTAGTAGTTGGAAAATAAGTTCTTTTGAAACTTTAATACATTTTGGTGTAGGCTGATGTACAATGAAAACTTTATTTTGCATATATTTCATTTACTATTCTGACTGAGTTGTTTTATCATTCACCTTAAGTTTCCATTGATTTTTTTCGTTTCTTTTTTTGAGAGATGGAAGTCTCTCTATGTTTCCCAGACTGGAGTGCAGTGGCTAGTCACAGGTGCAATTACAGTGTACTACAGCTTCAAACTGCTAGTCTTGAGTGATCCTTCTGCCTCAGGCTTCCCAGAGCTGGGATTACAGGTGCATGCCAGCACGTCTGGCTCCAATCCTTTAATTTCAAATGTGAAGGATTAAATATAATTCTCTCAAAGGTTGTAATGCTTTTATCTTAAATAAACATAAAAAGAGCACAAAGCCACTGCCTTCTTCACAAATATCCATTATGATCTCAAATGTGGACTTTGCAAACTTCAGAAATGTGTCAGACCCTAACCTGGGATCTTTAGTGCCACTGATCGATTTTGTGCATACAGTAAGCACTCAATAAAAGTTGTTGAATGCATGAAGGAATGCATAAATGTTCTCTTTGGATATCTAGCCTTACTTTCCCGTCATTCAGCTTAGATGACCTGAGAAGCACTTCCTCAAAATAACCCTCTGGCTCACCATGAGAAGAATGCCTGGCACCAGCTGGCAGGAGATATTAATAGCATGCCCATTAGGCACATGTTCAAGGCACATAGATAGCTCAGTGATAGAATCTTTAGGATATTTGGACAGTTAACATTATTTCGAGTATGAATCAGTTGTGGTTCCTTAAATCCTCACTTTAAATATTAAAAACCAACCTCTATTTTAAAAAATTCTTAAAAAAATAGTAAGGTGCAACAGCAATAATAGCTTGCAATTTTGAAAAAACTCAGTATTTGGGGCTAAGAAAAGTGAACTTCTAACAGTAGAATTCTTTCTTTTCTTTTATTCTTTTTGGAGACAAGGTCTCACTCTGCTATCTAAGCTGAAGTGTAGGGGGACAATCACGGTTCACTGCTGCCTCGACCTCCTGGGCTCAGGTAATCCTCTCACCTCAGCCTCCTGAGTAGGGTAGCTGGGACTACAGGCACGTGTCCCCAGGTCCGGCTAAGTTTTGTATTTTTTGCAGAGATGGGGTTTCGCCATGTTGCCCAGGATGTTCTCAAACTCCTGGACTTAAGCAATCTGCCTATATTGGCCTCCCAAAGTGTTGGGAATACAGGTGTGAGTCACTGCACCCAGCCCCATTTATTCTTGTAACGAAGATTCTTTTGAAGGATTCAGAAGCCAAAATAGAGAAGAGAATGTGACCTTTCCCTTTAAATTTCAAGTTTTAGTATTTTACCTATCATTTACCACTGATAAGTTTCTAACCCACAAAACTATGTTCTATTCTTCCTTAGGCAACATTGGACTAAGAAACAGATATGCTGAAAATTACAAAATACCCTAGGTTACCTGTTGTGACTTTTGGAGGAAATGGGAATGGGATTGATTTTTTAAAAAATAATACATAATTCTGAAATATCTGAATCCTCACCAGACAGAATTAAACATTCCAGCTACAAATTGATACTTTCTATTAGTCTAGCCTTGATCAAAATTTGGCATATATTTAGTTTAACTGGTGAGAGCCATAAGTTCTAAGCATGGCTTAGAACTTACTTTCTTTTCTTGTTTTCTATAAAGTGGTCTTTATATCCTACATCACTTTATTTTTTTTCATTTACCACTATATTAATGAGGTTGCATCATTTTAGATAGCCACACAGACGTTCTATTTTCTGAGTCATTTTCTTAGTGTATAATTAGTCATTTTCTTAGTGTCTCTAATGTCTAAATCAGTTCACACAAGAAAAGCAACTTTGAATTCTCAAATACTCTGATGAAGAAACAATTTTACTAGGTATCCTGCACTGAGCTAGATAGAGAAAGTGATAAATAAACAAGAGTAAGATGTAGCTGGCAGGGCGTGGTAGCTCATGCCTGTAATCCCAGCACTTTGGGAGGCCAAGGCGGGTGGATCACTTGAGGTCAGGAGTTTGAGACCAGCCTGGCTAATATGGTGAAACCCTGTCTTTACTAAAAATACAAAAATTAGCCAGGCATGGCGACACACGCCTATAATCCCAGCTACTCGGGAGTCTAAGACAGGAGAATTGCTTGAACCCGGGAGGTGGAAGTTGCAGCGAGCTAAGATCGTGCCACTACACTCTAGCCTGGGAGACACAGTGAGCCTCTGTCTCAAAAAAACAAACAAACAAACAAACAAAAAACAACAAAAAAAAGATGTAGTTGCCAGACCAGGCGTGGTGAATCACTCCTGTGTTTCCAGCACTTTGGAAGGCTGAGGCAGTTGGATCACTTGAGGCCAAGGCCAGGAGTTCAAGACCAGCCTGGCCAACATGGTGAAACCCCGTTTCTACAAAAAATACAAAAATTAGCAGGGTGTGGTGGTGCATGCCTGTAGTCCCAGCTACTTGGGAGACTGAGGCAGGAGAACTGCTTGAACCCGGGAGGTGGAGGTTGCAGTGAGCTGAGACTGTGTTACTATAATCCAGGCCTGGGTGACAGAGTGAGACTGTCTCAAAAAAAAAAAAAATAAATAAATAAATAAAAATAAAAAAAGTAGCTGCTGACCTTGAAGAACTTTCCATCTAGATGGGTAAATGATACAGGAAATGATAGCTAATGAGATAAGAGAAATGCTCTACTGTGTGGTACAGAGAAAACAGATGTTTTATAGGCAGAGAAATAGGTATATCCACTGCATTTTGGGTAGAGAGGCAAATAAGGCTGGAGAGGTAGAGCTACATTATGGGGGAGCTTGGAAGTCTGAAAGAAATATTTAGATTTGATGGATTTGATGTGGTAGTGAACGGGGCAGTGAGATGTTTTTGCAAAGTAGGATAAATTTTGGTGCAAGAGAGGAGTTAAGAATAAAAATCAGGCAGGTCAACTGGAAACCCGATTAATGTAGGTACAATTTTCTGTTAGTGTACAGTTGTCTGTTGCTATCCACGGGATTACTGGTTCCAGTGTACACTCCCCACCTCCTGTGGATACCAAAATCCATGAGTGCTCAAGTCCCTTACATACAATTGGTATAATATTTGCATATAACCTATGTATATCCTCCCATATACTTTAAATCACCTCTAGATTACTTATCATACCTAACAAAATGTAAATGCTATGTGAATAACTGTATTGTGTTACAGAATAATGACAAGAAAAAAAGTCTGCACATGTTCAGCATAGATGCAATCATCCATTCTTTTCTCAAATATTTTTGATCAGCGGTTGGTTGAATTCACACATGTGAAACCCATGGATATAGAGGGCTGATTGTACTTTTAAGCAGTATCTCACAAGATAACTAGTGGATCTTCCAAATATTCTCCTAGTTTTCATAAAGCCTTTTATAGTTTCAATCACAATATATGCATTAACTCCCCTTATCACTCTCCCTAACGTGTATGTCAAGGAATGTAGGCAGGTGAATAAAAATGAGAGAAAGCAAAAAGAAGCATAATTAATTTTAATCTGAATATTGTTGATACAAAGCATTTGTAGCTCATCTGAAATTAATGTGAAAATAAAAATGAGGTCCTCATCATCAAATCTAATTCTACAGAAATTCTTATGTACACTTCTATTCTACAAACCATTAAATTTATTTAAATAGCTATGAAATACATGATTATTACTGTTTTATTTTGTGAGAAATTTAATATTTATGCAGAGTAAGAATAAAGGACTTTGTCACTGAACTCAGCACATTATCAGAAAGCACAAATGTAATTACATTCAGCTTGAGTAGAAAAATAAAATAAATATATATCGATTTTACCTTTGCTTTAGTCGTCTTTTGGCTGTTGTGGGAACATTAGCACCATAGCCATAGGAAAAAAGAACCCTTTCAGCCTCATCTTCATTTTCAACTGGAAAATATTAAAGTATATAATGTGAGATAACTTAATTTTTCCTTTAAAAACATGGCAGAAATGAAAATAAAAGAGGTTATAATAAATTAGGGAGCATAAAAACATTAGAAAGGGCTAATATGTAATCTTAAACAGCCCATTTGTAAGTAGAAGCATATTTCTTAAAGTATATCCTTGCTTGAATTTGCTCCATTTATTTTGGCAATGTATAAGGGATTACATCATATCACATTAGGTTTTCTTGTTAAATAGTATAATAATACATATATTATTCTGAAGGACTCAAAGGCTTTTTGCATGAAATATACTATATAACAAATAATGATAACATATCAAAGTCATCAATTCTGTTCTTGATAAAATAAACGATTTTTAAATTAGGACAAATATTATTTTATCAGAACAACTTTATTTTAATTTGCAACAATAAAATTATGTACTTATGTAGGTTACTCTATTAAAAACTGTGCAGCTCTAAGCATGTATTGATGGCCTTACTCTTTTTTAAATGTAAAAAAATTCTGTGAAAATAATTTACTTTTAAATTCTGCTATTGTCATGCCACTTCCCAAAAGGAATTTTAACTAACAAGTTAACATCTTCTGGCTAAAAACTTGAAATGCAATGACATTTTACTGCAAGTTGGGATTAAAAAAATATATATATATACACATATTTTTTTTTGAGATGGAGTTTCACTCTTGCTGCCCAGGCTGGAGTGTAATGGTGTTATTTCTGCTTACGGTGACCTCTGCCTCCCAGGTTCAAGTGATTCTCCTGCCTCAGCCTCCCCAGTAGCTGGGATTACAGAATATCACTCCTGGGTAATTTTTTTTTGTATTTTTAGTAGAGACAGGGTTTCGCCATGTTGGCCAGGCTGGTCTCAAACTCCCGACCTCAGGTGATCTGCCTGCCCTCAGGTGATCTGCCCACCTCAGCCTCTCAAAGTGCTGGGATTACAGGTGTGAGCCACCACACTCGACCAAAAAAGATTTCATCATCAAAAAAACCCCCCAAAACACCAAAAAAAAATTTCATCAAAGGCTATAGTTTTAACAGCTCAAGTAAAAGCAGTCAATGACATACAAAAACTTTTATAATATTATTTATCAGCAACCATTATTTTAATGTTAAAAAGATAAACCACTTTCAGGAATATTTCAGAATTAAAACAAAGCCACATATTTTACAACCATAATGATGTTTCATCATCTGCATGCCTATCAATGTAATATGCATACATTTGTTGATTGGCCCTTCTGTAGTAAAGATTTTAGAAACATTCATTAACTGTTTTCTTTTAATTTTGTACCTATCTTTCATGGTGAATCAGGATTAGCTTTCTGAGGAAGAATTACTAGTTGGGACACATGGAAGAGATGATACACACCATTACCAATACTATGATCAGCTATCAGATAAGTCCAGATCCAAGATGAGTTCTCCAAATCAGCTCTACTAGAACTAGAGCTAATATTTAGATATGTAACTGACTCTTGTCTCTCCTTAATAGTTCTAAATTCAGAGGGCAGAAGGGTAAATTTAGTTTACATCTCAAAAACCCGTAAGTTAGATATTAATGGACATGCTAAATGTGAGTTTAATACTTAATGGATTAATAAATCATGGGATAACTATTCTAGCAGGGATTAATTACAAAAACAATGTATTATACAACTTGGTCAATGCTACTAAAGAGATCTGAACAACGCTATTAAAGAGATCTGAACAACATGTCTTAGAAGCAGAGCACAGAGCAACTGCATCTGAGTGCCACTATTTCCCATGCTACAAGGTATAGGGTAGATATGGGGAGACTGAGATTCAGTGAAGGAATAGGAGAGAAGTCCATGTGTAGAAGCACAGACTTGTAAGATATGTGAAGTTTTAGTAATTGTGAGGAAAGTGGTTGAATTTGGTCTGGAGAATGGTGGTAGTAGAAAGGCAGACTAAGTTCCAACAGTGAATGGAACTAAAGTCTTGTTTGTTAGGCTGAGTAGTCTGGATTTTATTCTAACATCAACAAGAAGCTATAATACAAGAAGGTGGCATGACCAATTGATTTTTGTTGTTGATTCAGATATCATTTTAAAAATTCCAATAATGGGGAAGAGGATGGCTTAGAATACTGGCACAGAGAATTCCTAACAAATTATAATACCAGTTGAGATCTAGTCCATAATAGCAGTGGAGAAAAGAACTTGGATTCTAGACAACTGAGCAGGTGTGAGTGAGATGAGGCACTCTAGTTTGAATGAAGGAGGAATAAAGGTTGATAAAAGCTAGTAGGATGATTACATAAAAGTTTACTAACAGATCAAAAATACAGTTGGTCGTCCTTTAGTATCCCTGGGGGATTGGTTCCAGGAACTCTGAGGATACCAAAATCCACAGATGATTAAGTCCCTTATATAAAATGGCATATATCTGCATATAACATATCTACACCTTCACATACACTTTAAACCTTGCCTGCATCACTTATAATACCTACCACATTGTACATGCTATATATATAGTTATACTGTATTTTAAAAAATGTATTATTTTTTATTACTTTTTCCCCAATATTTTCAATCCACAGGTGATAAAATCTGAGATGCGGAAGCTGCTAATACAGAGAGCAACTGCACAGAAAAATTAGGAAGTTTCAGGGAAGAAAGAGGAAACGCAAATAATGTTAATTTTTCAGCTGTGCATGGTGGCTCATACCTATAAACCCAGTGTTTTGGGAGGCCAACGCAGGAGGATCGCTTGAGGCCAGAAGTTTGAGATCACTTTGGGCAACATAGTGAGACCGTGTCTCTACAAAAAATAATTAGCTGGGCACGATGGCATGTGTCTGTAGTCCCAGCTACTTGGAAGGATGAGGCAGGGGGATCACTTGAACCCAGGAGTTTGCGACTGCAGTGAGCTACGATTGTACCACTGCACTCCAGACTGGGCAACACAGTGAGCCCCTGTCTCTAACTATAGAAATTACTAGCCTATTGATAGTAACTGAAGTTGTGGAAAGGGATAAGATTATCGAGAAAGTAGTTAAGTGATGGAAAATAAACAAAGGCAGGTGATTCAAGAAGCAAAGAGAAGGGAGTTCTGAGAAATTTGACAAATGCCTAGTGGAGGTTATAAGTATGATGAGGATGCGTAGCAGGTAACTGAATTTAACAACTAGAAATCTAGGGTTTTTTTTTTTTTTTCTAATTTGAGTTTATTTAGCTTTTAGGCAATACTTGTACTTTTAACAACTTGATGAAATCTTTGAAAACTAAACTCAAATATCCAAATAATACTTATTTGATTACAGAAAGCAATACAGGTATAAATAAGATACTTTAATTTGCTATGGTTACACCTTAATAAATGAAGCCTAATCACCTTCATGTCAGCTGAGATTACCTGAATTAAACGGCAAGCCTTTGAAAATTGTATACAATGTAGTACTAGAACAAGTCTGTGCTCACCTGTTTGAAATTTTAGTTAATTGATAAGTATTCATTAAAAGGATAAGGTGTATTTTAATTTCCAATGTGAACTGATAGAGAACCTAGTTATTGATCTTCTAGTAAATCTATTTTATTTGAAATTGGTTTAGA